GGGTTTAGGGCTTTAGGGTTTAGAGAAGCCAGGGAGGGCTCAGTCGGAATTCGGTGGGGGTTTTGAGGGTTTTTTGGCTGACTGTTGTCGAATAATTGCGGTGTTTGTAGGCTTTTGTCGTGTTGCCGTGTTTTTTTATATAGGTGGTTCAGGGTGTAGGCTTGTTGGGCTTTGGAGGAGTTTGGGGCGGTCCGGGGAGAGCGAAAGGGTCACTGCACTCACAAAAAAACCCTAAACTCTTCGACCCTGAACCCTAAACCCTAAACCTTTAAGACAATCCCTAAATCCTTGAATCCCGTTTAAGAGAGTGGTAGCCTAGAAGCCGCGGAGCTGTTGTCCTGATCACAGTCTGTGCAGGATGCAGTTCACCATCAAGACGTCCCTCTGTAGCAGCCCGGATGGCAGTTTAGGGTTTAGGGCAGTTCAGCTCCGAATACCAGTGTGGGGGCTTTCATGCGCCGCACTGTTTGCAGTGTCTCCGATTGAGAGAGCTTTTGGGGCTGAGGCTTCCTGAATCCCAAAACTCTGGAATTGTCAATCCGGCCCTTTTTCTCATCCTTGCATAGTTGTCGTATGGATGTTTCGAACACACCAAGCTTTGAAACTACCAAGCTCAGTTATCTTTTCGCACCCCAAATCCCGTATCCGAAGTTTTGAAGCATAAACCCGAAGCCGAAAGACTTGGGCACGTCGTGATGAAAGCTTGTCGTCTTCGGACTTCAGACCTTCCTGCTGTAGAAGATTGGGGTTGAGAGTGTAGGATATTTCGGGTGTGTGGGGTAAATGTAGGAGCCTTAATTATGAGAATTTGGTTTTGAATTCGGGCCTCCCAAAAATACTTGTAATGAGGAACCCCCCAAANNAAAATAGTATTGGTAATTATCTAGACTCTAGACCCCATTTCAATGTTTTAGGGGTCGTTTAGGACGTAGGATCCGCTTGCCGCACGCAGTGAATGGCTGAGGCAAAGACCTGTATTTCGGCGTTGAACTGGAGGATGCGGAGGGGGCGGCAGAAGTGGTTGGGGAGCTTGCCCATGTTTTTTCGGTTCACAAGCACCAGCCATGGGGACAGTTCGATAAGCTAGCATTGCTCAAACAGTAGAGTTGAACTTGGATGCGTATATACAGGTGTATGCTGTGCATTATGTACTGTATGCTGACCATGACAGGGCCGGTAGGCTTATGACCTTGCAGGGTTTCTTTCCGCCTCTTTATAGGCGGGAGTTACAGATTCAGGACTTGTCTAGGATTCCAGGATTAGGAGACCAACAAGCAACACTGCTAATGATAATTACAGAGACAGCAAAGGTCGGAAGCGTTATCGACACCAGCTAGGCCATAAGGACGCAGGAAGATAACCGAGACAACAATTACTAGAAGAACGGCTGTAGCAGTCGTATCAGTCACGGGAATAGTCACAATGGGTAATCTAAATCCTAAACCCTAAACCCTNNACCCTAAACCCTAAATGGCAGCATGTGGGCAACAGACGGCAGCATAGTTCGATCCACAAAGGCTCGGCATATTGCAGCAATTGCAACCTTTCGCCCTAATCTGCTGCAACCCCCCCAAAAAAGACCGTAAACCTCAGACTCCAGGAAACCCAAAACCTACGCAAGAAGCTGTACTAGGTACTAGCCCCGAACGTACGCCAGACCCCAGAATTCCCAGAATTTATACGGGAAGAGCCCAAAATCGCTTAAGCCCTCAAACCAAGGCTCAAGAGACCTCAGCCGTGAAGCCGAGCTCTTAATAGTAGTGGCAAGAGCAAAAATATTAGTAAATTCCGGGATAATAGCAATAGTAGTACTCATAGCATAAGCATAATCATAGTAATCATAGTAATAATCGCAATAATAGCAAATAATATAGTACTCATGGTAATAAACATATTATTCTGCAGGAGTACGTGCACCTGCCCGCCGCCGCCAAGCGGGTCGTGCAGCTTTCCGTGGCGGCCATCCGGCAGGCCTTAGTCAACACCGTCAATGAGTGATTGAGTGGTTCTCTAAATTGGAGCCTCTACCCTTATAAAGGATCCGAACAGGGACTATTTCCTTATAGCAAAGATTCTGCACATGGGTTCTGTTGCATAAGGATTTAGATGTAGGAGAAACTGGTAATACTGGCCTCGGAAAGTTGCTACACAGCTATCTGTAGACCTTGGAACAAGATAACTTCTATTCCCAAGAACGCGCTACTTGAGTATGCTTTTTGAGCTGTCGGGGTTTAGGGAAGAGATCGTCATCAGCCCTAAGTAGCATGAACATTCAAAGCCCAACACAAGCCTCAGATGGCAGCTAACCTAAACCCATGATCTGCAGAGGCGTAGTGATGTTGCTAGTCTTGTGCAGCAGAGCTGAGCAACAGACGGAATCGTTCGATGCTAAGCGCCTGTACCATCCATTCCATCATCCAATCTATAGAATCGGAAGTATTCAGCGCTAAGATCCCTAACCCTAAACCCTAAAC